TGATCTGTTTGTCTATCAGTTTGTCAATATCATATTGTAGGTTTATAGTAAGTCTTGAAGTCAGGCAGTATCAATTCTCCAATATTGCTCTTCTCCTTGAATATGGTGTTGTATATTCTGGACATTTTATCTCTCCATATAAACTTTAGAATCAGTTTGTCAATATCTGTAAAATTACTTGTGAAAACTTTCATTGGAATTGCACTGAATCTCTAGATCAAGTTGAGAAGAACTGACATCCTGACAATATTGAGTCTTCCTTATCCATGAACATGAAATATCTCTCCATTTATTTAGTTCTCCTTCAATATTTTTGTTGGAGCTTTATAGTTTGATCGATAGTATTCGTGAGTTCAACTATGTCCTTAATTCTGCCTGCTGGAACTGTCCACCTCTGAACAGGGGTGTTGAAGTCTTTCACTATAATAGGAGATTCATCTATTTCTCTTTGCAGTTCTATCAGTTTTTGACTCATGTAGTTTGATGTTGTTTTTAGGTTGCATACTGTTAAGAATTGTTATGTCTCCTTAAGAAATCCACCCCTTTATCATTATGGAATACCTTCCTTAATCCTGATAACTTTCCTTACTTTGCAGTCTTCTCTTTCTGAAATTAATATAGCTACTGCTGCTTTTTTTTTGTTAGCATAAACATGATGTATTTTTCTCCATCCATTTACTTTCAATCTATCTATGTCCTCATACTTAAAGTGGGTTTCTTGTAGACCAGATAGCTGGGTCATATTTTTTGATCCACTCTGACAATCTCCATTTTTTTTTCAAGATTGTATTTATTTATTTGAGTGAAAGAGAGAGCACGCATGCACACATGAACGGGGGAGGGGCAGCGGGAGAAGCAGACCTTGGGATGAGCCGGGAGCCTCAGGCGGGCCTTGATCCCATGACCCTGAGATCATGACCTAAGCCATAGGCAGAGCTTAACCATCTGAGCCACCCAGGCTTCCCTGATAATCTCTGTCTTTTAAATGGTGTATTTAGACCAATGACATTCAGAGTGATTATTGATAAAGTTGGATTCATATCTATTGTATGTATTACTGTTTTCTTTGTTGCTATTTTTGTCTTTCACTCTTTTTCTGCCTTTTATGGTATTAATTGAGCATTTTATATGACTCCATTTTGTCTCCTTTCTCAGCGTATCTGTTATACTTCCTTTTTTAAACTGTTTTTAGTGACTGCCCTAGAGTTTGCAACATACTTTTACAGCTAATCCAAGTACAGTTTCAAATAATGCTATACCACTTAACATGAAAGTATCTTAAAATTTTAAAAAATTCCTAATTCTTTCCTCCCATCACTTGTATCATCACTGTCACTCATTTTACTTACATATAATTTTATAAAGCATGCATGTATATACTATATACATAAGCATACATAATTGAATACATTGTTGCTATCATTATTCTGAACAAACTTACCTATTAAGTCAGTTACAAAATTTGTTATAATTTTTATTTACCTTCATCTATTCATTTTCTGATGCTCTTCCTTTCTTTATGTATCTCAGTTTCTGACCAATATTTTTTTTCCTTCTAAGGACTTCTTTAAGCATTTCTTGCAAGACAGGTCTGCTGGCAAGAAATTTCCTCAATTTTTGTAAGTCTAGGGAAGTCTTTATTTCTCCCTACCTTTGAAGAATGATTTAACAGGGTACAGAATTCTAGGTTGTTAGTTTTTTCTCTTAACCCTTTAAATATTTCACTGCTCTCTCTTCTTGCTTGCATGGTCTCTGAGAAGGTGGATGTTAGAGGCAAGGTGATTTTTTTCCTCTGGCTTCTTTCAAGATATTTTGTCTTTGACTTTCTGTAATTTGAAAATGATATTCTGAGGTGTAATTCTTCTGCAGTTTATCCTGTTTGGTGTTTTCTGAGCTTTCTGGATCTGTGGGTTTGGTGTCTCACATTAATTTGGGGAAATTCTTAGCCATTATTGTTTCAAATATTTCTTTAGTTCCTTTCTCTCTTTCTTCTGTTCTAGTATTCTATTACTCATAACTTATGCCTTCTGCAGCTGTCCCACAGTTCTTGGGTACTCTGTTCCATTTTTTTCAGACTTTGTTTTCTTTGTTTTCAAAGATTTTATTGCTCTATCCTTTAATGCAGAGATTCCTTCCTCAGCTGTATCCAGTCTACTAATAAGTCCACTGAATGCAGTCTTCATTTCTGCTACACTCTTTTTTGCTTCTAGCATTTCTTTTTTGGTTCCTTCTTGAGATTTCCATTTCTCTGGTTACACTGCCCATCTATTCTTGCATGCTGTCTACTTTATCCATTTGAGCCCTTATTATATTCACCCTATTTGTCTTAAATTCTTGGTCTGATGATTCCAACATCCCTGACATGTCTGGTTTTGATGCTTGTTCTCTCTTTTCAAGTCATATATATATATATATATATATATATATATATATATATATATTGCCTTTTGGTATGCCATGTAATTTTTTCTTGATAGCTAGACATGGTATAACAGGTAAAAGGAGCTTCTCTAAATAGGGCTTTAGTAATGTGGTGGTGAAATGTGTATGTGGGGGGCATTTTATAATTTATGACCAGGTCTGAATCTTTAGGGAGTCTATGCCTCTAGACTGTGACCTTCACCAGAGTTTCTCTGTTTTGTTTTGTTTTTTCTCCCCTTATCCTTAGGTCAACAAGATAGCTAGAGTGGGCTGGAATTGGGTATTTCCCTTCCCTCAGGTCAGCTAGACTCTGATGATTACCCCAGCATATTAGGCTCTGGTTAGCTAATTTCCCCTGAGGGCAGGCTTTATTAAGAACAGAGTGCTCTGGCTTATTTCAAAAAGGTTCTTTTCCCCCTCCCCTTGGTGGAAGCATGAGGGAATTTTTCTCCAATATTTACTATGGAAACTTGGTCAAGCTTCTGGAGGTTAATCTCACAATATTATGGGGATTCCCTATGACTGGGTACCTCTGGAGATTTTAACTCAGTTATCTACACCAAGACTCCAGCAATTCATCAATTATAGTTGAGGTTTTCCTACCTGGGTGCTGGTGAGTATTTCCTTCAGGAAGCTGTGACTCCCTGTCTCTCTCTCCAATCTTGGAAAAATCCCTGATGTTCTTCTTCCTTGTTGCGGGTAAAACCCTTTCTTTTCCTATTCTTTGGATTGGTTGTATCTTTTGGCTCAACGCTCACCAAGAGGGGAACCCACTTTGGAGTAAGTTTCTTTTTTTTAAGGCCATTGCATAAGGATGTGCAGATGGTTCACTGCTAAACCTAAAGGGATGCCCTTCTAATTGGCTACCACAATCATACATGGCAGTCCTGAAAAATACATGGAACAGCATGATTTAGAGTTCATGAATTAATGTCTCTTTGTGATATAATGACACACCTTCCCAATGCAGGTACAGCAGGGGGGCCCACCCACCAGTATGCCCACGATAGTTGCAGCTGGACCTTGCAGCCAGCTGCATCAGGGGCTAGCTTTAAACACAAGCATACCCACAGTAGCCACAGTTGACCTCTTAATCAGCCACATTAGGGCCAGGCTTGCCCACCAGTCACAGCACAGACATAACAGGAGGGCACATGCAGACCACACAGGGGACACCTCTGGAGTATTTAGTTCTGGTGACTGGGAGGATTGTACTTCTGAGTCTCACAGGACATCTGCATAAGGCCACCTCTTCAAGGCCAGGAGATGAAGCTGATCTACCTAATACATAGAAACCAACAAGGAGAGTCAGGGAAAATGAGGAAATTGAGGAATTTGTTCTAAACAACAACAACAAAAAACAAGACAAAACTACAGAAAAAGTACTGAATGAAATGAAGATAAGCAAGCTACCTGATAAAGATTTGGAGGTAATGGTCATAAACATGGTCACTGAACTAGGGAGAGATTGAACAAACACACTGAAAACTTCAATAAAGAGATAAAAAAAATATAAAAAGGAATCAATCAAAGCTGAAGAATACAATAACTGAAATGAAAAATACACTAAAGGGAATCAACATCAGATTACAGAATGCAGAAGAACAGATCAGTAATCTGGAAGACAGGGTAGTGGAAATCATCCAAAGTGAACAGCAAAAAGAAAAAAGAAAATTAAAAAATGAGGATAGTTTAAGTAACCTCTGGAACAACATCAATGATACTAATTTTTTTTTATTATAGGGATTCCAGAAATAGATGAGAGAGAAAAGGAGCAGAAAACTCATTTGAAGGTGTAATAGCTGAAAACTTCCCAAATCTGGGAAAGGAAACAGACATCCAAGTCCATAAAGCACAGGGAGTCCCAAACAAGATACCCAAAGAAATTCACACCAAGACACATAATAATTAAAATGTCAAAAGTTAAGGATAAAGGAAGACTCTTAAAAGCAGCAAGAGAAAAACATCTTGTCGGGGCACCTGGGTGGCTCAGTCGTTAAGCGCCTGCCTTCGGCTCAGGTCACGATCCCAGGATCCTGGGATCAAATCCCACATTGGGCTCCCTGCTCAGGCGGGAAGCCTGCTTCTCCCTCTCCCACTCCCCCTGCTTGTGTTCCCTCTCTCGCTGTGTCTCTCTCTGTCAAATAAATAAATAAAATCTTAAAAAGAAAAAGAAGAAGAAGAAAGAAAAACATCTTGTCATGTACAATGGAACCCCTATATGACTATCAGCTGATATTTCAGCAGAAACTTTATAGTCTAAAAGGGACTGGCATGATATAGTCAAAGTGCTGAAAGGGAAAAAAAACCTATAACCAAAAATACTCTACCCAGTAAGGTCATCATTCAGAAATGAAAGAGAGATAAAGCACTTTCTGAAGAAACAAAAGTTAAAGTTTATCACCACTAAACTGGCCTTTCAAGAAATATTAAAGGAAATTCTTTAGGTGGAAAAGAAAGGCCATAACTAGAAGTAAGAAAATTATGAAAGGAAAAATCTTACTGGTAAAAGCAAACACATAGTTAAGGTAGTAGATAAACCACTTATAAAGCTGGTATGAATGTTAAAAGACCAAAAGTAGTAAAACCAATTATATTTACAATAATTAGTTAAGGGATACACAAAATAAAAAGATGTAAAATATGGTTCAAATACATAAAACATTGGGGAAGGCGTAAAAATGCAGCTCTTTTAGAACATGTTCCAACTTGTGTCCATCAACTTAAACAGACCTGTATATACAAAGGGTGCTAAATATAAATCTCATGGTAACAACAAACCAAAACCCTACAACAGATACCAAAAAACAAAGAGAAAAAATTTCAAACATAATACTATAGAAAATAATCAAAACTAAGAGAAAAGATTAAGAACAAATGGAGAATAACTATAAAAACAACCAGAAACAATTTTGAAAATGGCAATAAGTACATATATATCAATAATTACTTTAAGGTAAATGGACTAAATATTCCAATCAAAAGACATAGGGTGACTGAACAAGGGGAAAAAAAAAAAAAAAAAAAGACCAGGGAGCTTGAGTGGCTCAGTCAGTTAAGCTGTCTGACTCTTGATCTCAGCTTAGGTCTTGATCTCAGGGTTGTGAGTTCAAACCCCACACTGGACTCCATGCTGGGCATGGAGTCTACTTATAAATAAATAAACAAACAAATAAATAAATACAGATATCTACAAGAGACTCACTTCAGACCAACAGACACACAGAGACTGAAAGTGAAGGGATAGAAAAAGATATTCCACGCAAATGAAACCAAAAGAAAGCTGGGGTAGCAATACTTATATCAGACAAAATAGACTTCAAAACAAAGAGTGTATCAGGAGACAAAGATGGGCATTTACATAATGATAAAGGGATCAGCCAAATACGGATATATAACACTTATAAATATGTATACTACCTAGTAGGAGCACCAAAATATATAAAAGCAAATGGTAATAGATCAAAGGGAGACAGTAATACAATAGTAGAAAAATTTAACACCCCATTTACATCAGTGAATAGTTCATCCAGACAAAAAATCATTAAGAAAACAGTGGCCTTAAATGACATATTAGACCAGATGTACTTACCAGATATATACAGAACATCCAATCCAAAAATATCAGAATACACATTCTCTTTAGGTACATATGGAACATTCTCCAGGATAGATCACATGTTAGGCCACAACACAAGTCCCAATACATTTAAAAAGATTATAATCATATCAGCATCTTTTGTGACCACAGTGGTATGGAACTAGAGATCAATTACAAGAAAAAAAAACTAGCAAAACACAAACACATCCGGCTAAACAACATGCTACTATAAACAACCAATGAGTCAATTAAGAAGTCAAGGAGAAAATAAAAAAAATACCTTGAAACAAATGAAAATGAAAATAAAATATACCAAAATCTATGGGATACACCAAAAGCAGTTCTAAGAGGGAAGTTTACAATGATATGGGCCTACCTCAAAAGTCTCAAATAAACAATCTAACCTTACATCTAAAGGAAATGGAAAAAGAAGAACAAAAAAAGGGGCACCTGGGTGGCTCAGTTAGTTAAGAGACTGCCTTCGGCTCGGGTCATGATCCCGGAGTCCTGGGATCAAGTCCCGCATTGGGATCCTGGCTCGGTGGGGAGCCTGCTTCTCCTTCTGACCTTCTCCCCTCTCATGCTGTTTCTTTCTTTCTCTCTCTCTCTCACAAATAAATAAATAAATAAAATATTTTTAAAAATTTTAAAAAAAAGAACAAAAAAGCCAAAGTTAGCAGAAAGAAGGAAATAATAAAGACAAGAGCAACAATAAATGAAACAGAGACTAAATAACAATAGAAAAGATCAATGAAACTAAGAGCTGGTTCTTTGAAAAGATAAATAAAATTGATAAACATTTAGCCAGACTCATAAAGAAAAAAAAGACGACTCAAATAAAATCAGAAAGAGAAGTTACGACACCACAGAGATACAAAAGATTATAAGAGAAAAACATGAGCAATTATTGTACAACAAATTGGACAACACAAAGAAAATGGGTAAGTTCCTAGAAATATACAATCTTACAATCTTCCAAGACTGAATCCAAAGGGACTAGAAAATTTGAAACAGACTGAGTACTAATAAGGAAATTGAATTAATAATCAAAAAACTCCCAACAAACCAAAATCCAGGACCAGATGGCATCATAGGTGAATTCTATTGAACATTAAAAGAGGAATTGACATCTATCTTCCTGAAACTGCTCCAAAAAATTGAAGAGAAAGGAGTGCTTCCAAATTCAAGAGTCCAGCATTATCCTGATATCAAAACTAGACAAAGATAGTAAAAAAAAATTACAGGCCAAATATTCCTAATGAATGTAGATGCAAAAATCCTCACAAAGTATTAGTACATTGAATTCAACAATAAATTAAAAGGATCTTATACCATGATCAGGTGGGATTTTTCCCAAGATGCAAGGATGGCTCAATATCTGCAAGTCAATCAACATGATACACCATATTAGCAAAATGAAAATAAAAATCATATCATCTCAATAAATGCAGAAAAGGCATTTGACAAAATTCAACATCCACTTATGAGTAAAAACTCAACAAAGTGGGTATAGGAGAACATATCTCAACATAATAAAGGCCATATATGACAAACCCACAGCTAACATCATACTCTATAGTGAAAAGTTGCGAACTTGTCCTCTAAGATCAGGAACAAGACAAGGAGGCCCACTTTTGGAACTTGTATTCAACATAGCACTAGAAGTCTTAGCCACAGCAATAAGACAAGAAAAGGAAATAAAAGGCATTCAAACTAGTAAGAAGTATAACTGTCACTATATTCAGGTGACATAATTACACATACAGAAAAGGCTAAAGACTCTACCAAAAAATTGCTAGAACTAATAAATGAATTCAGTAAAGTTGCAGGATACAAAATTAATATACACAGATCTGTTGCATCTCTGTACACTAATAATGAATTATTAGAAAAAGAAATTAAGAAAACATTCCCATTTACAGTTGCACCAAAAAGAATAAAGTACCCAGGAATAAGTATTTTAAAATACCTATTTAACCAAGGAAGTGAAAGACTTGTACTGTGAAAAATATAAGATGTTGATGAAAGTAATTGAAGATGACACAAATAAATAGAAAGATATGTCATGCTTCTGAATTGGAACAAGTAATATTGTTAAGATATCCATACTACCCAAAGCAATCTATAGGATCAATGTAATCCTATCAAAATACCAATGGCATTTTTCATAGAAATAGAACAAATAGTCCTAAAATTCGTGTGGAAGCAAAAAAGGCCCTGAATAACCAAAGCGATCTTGAAAAAGAACAAAGTTGGAGGTTCATGCTTCTTGACTTTAGAATATACTACAAAGCTTTAATAATCAAAACAGCATAGTACTCACTCACATACACACACACACACACACACATGCATACACACACAAAATGGACACACAAATCAATAGAATAAAATAGAAAGCCCAGAAAAAAGCCTACAATTATATGGTCAATTTATCTATGACAAAGGAGGCAAGACTATATGATGAGGAAAAAGACAGGTTCTTCAATAAATGATGTTGGGAAAACTGGACAGCTACATGGAAAAGAATGAAACTGGACCACTTTTTCAACACATATACAAAAATAAAGTCAAAATTAATTAAAGACATAAATTTAAGACCTGAAACCATAAAATTCCTAAAAGAAAACATAGGCAGTAAACTCTTAGACATAGGTCTTAGCAGTATTTTTTTTCTATCTCCTGAGGCAAGGGCAACAGAAGCAAAACTAAACAAATGGGACTACATCAAATGAAAAAGCTTTTGCAGAAAGCCATCAACAAAATGAAAAGGCAACTTACCGAATGGGAGAATATATTGGCCAATGATATGTCTGATAAGGGGTTAATATCCAAAATATATAAAGAACTAATACAAGTCAACACCAAAAAAACCCCCAAAAAACACAATTTAATTAAAAAATAGACAGAGGAGGGAGGTGAAGAGGCATCTTCCAAAGAGGACATACAGATGGCCAACAGACACATGAAAAGATGCTCAACATCACTAATAACCAGGGAAATGCAAATCAAAACTACAATATCACCTCACACCAATCAGAATGGCTAGTATCCAAAGGACAAGAAATAATAAGTGTTGGTAAGAATGTGGAGAAATGGGAACCTACAGCTGTTGGTGGGAATGTATGTAATATTGTTCAGCCATTATGGAAAACAGTATGGAGATACCTCAAAAAATTAAAAATAGGACTACCATACAATCCAGTGATCCCACCTCTGGGTATTTATCAGAAGAAAATGAAAACACTGATTCAAAAAGATATGTGCACCCCTATGTTCATTGCAGCACTGTTCACAATAACCAAGATACAGAAGCAGCCTAAGTATCCATCAACACATGAATAAATTTAAAAATGTGATATATATACAATGGAATATTACTCAGCCATTAAAAAAATGAAATCTTGCCATCTGTAACAACATGGATGGTTCTTGATGGTATGATGCTAAGTGAAATAAGTCAGACAGAGAAGGACAAATACCATATGATTTCATTTATATGTGGAATCTAAAAAACAAAACAAATGAACAAACAAAACAAAACAGAAATAGACTCTTAGATACAGAGAACAAATTGGTAATTGCCAGAGGGGAAGGGTGGGGGTGGATGGGTGAAATAGGTGAAGAGGATTAAGAGGTGTAATTTTCCAGTTATAAAATAAATAAGTCACGGGGATATAAAGTACAGCATAGGGAGTGTAGGCAATAATATTGTAAATACTGTGTATGATGACAGATGGTAACTAGACTCATTACTGTGATCATTTTGTAATGTATGTAAACAAATTACTATGTTATACACCTAAAATTAATATTGTATGTCAACTATTCTTCAATTAAAAAAATTTTAATTAAACAAAATACTGAAAAGCATTAAATATAAAAAAATATAGACTTGAACTTTATAAACATGTGTATACTCTTGAAATAAAATACTAAATTAAATTAGTTACTCAATAATTTTCCCCCTACATGTACATGACTTTACTATTTGGATAAAGTGTTATGACTTCCTAATATATCAGGTACATCCATATTCAAATATTAGACACAAAATGCATTCTAAACTCAGTAATATTTAGAGTTTGAGCACTGTTCACTCTACAAATTCCAACATAAAGATAAATATAAATGTATGTAAAATACTTCATAAATAAGAATATTACAAATCAACTACCTCATCATAGGTTTTCCTTAATTAAAAAAGATTATCATAGCATTATTTGAAAGAAATGATTTCAATTCTCATTTTTTAAGAGTTAGAAGTATTAGAAGTTCCTGTTGGATTGACAGATGAGGTGAGAGATACATTGTTAAACAAGATTAAGGACTTAAACATTAATGGGGAACTCAATAAAGCCAATCCATAATGAAAGTCTTAACCGAGTGCTACAATTAGGCTCTATGAAAACTCAGGAGGGACAGTCAAATGCCTGAAGAATCAATAGCCACAACAACTTTAATCTGTATATTTGCTCATTTTGAACCTAATACTACTTGGTGAAAAATTATAATCTGAGGTAATCTTAAGACTTTACATATTATTTTTCACAAATGCATGGTTAAAATTTTTATTCCCAGACAGTAAACAGGGATGCAGCAAAGAATGAGACAGGAAAATCAAAACAATGCATTTAGCTACTTGTTTCTCTGGGATTTGGTATATTTGAAATATTGAGAATTTATCGGGTTATTATTGTTTGCCAGACAATGTCATGAGAGCATTTCCTATCTCATATAATCCTCTCAATTTTCTTAAAGTACAATTCTAACCTACTAAGGTACTGTTATTAGTCTCATGTTTTAGATGTGGAAACTAGGGCTTACGGTGGTCAAAAACTTGCCCCAAGTCATAAAACTAGAAGCTAAGCTTTTAATAACTGTGAATAGATCTTTTTTTATAGTGTGAGGGAAAACCATAAAGCACAGGGGGCCACTGAGACTGGGGAATTTGGTGGAGAGTAGGGGTGGCAGGTAAGTTATCTATCCTTAAGCTATTTGTTGCCACAGATCACTGAAGAGACTTGCTAGTTTAACACATTACTCTGCACACATAAGCCTCCCAAATTTTTCTAGCAGCTGAATATCCAAGAGTGTCCCAATATAGTGAAAGCAAATTTCACAATTATGTATCTAATCACTTAATATCAAGATATTCATTACATATTATCACATAAAACACTAAGCATTTGCTGCTATGTTCATAAGCTGAATGTCTAATTCTAAACAGGGTGTGCAACTGTTTTTAGGATGGTCTGAAATTCCACAAACAAAATATTCTTTGAAATCCACATCTTCAGTGTATGGCTTCTTCCTATTATAAAACTTTAGGTATTACTGATGTACCTAGACTTCATTCTACTAAACAGTATTTGCATTAATACTTCAGTACTAGTGAAAGAACTGTGCCTCAAACTGAACCAAACATCTGTTAAACTGAATTGCTGTTTATGCTGAAATTCGTCGATTACATAAAAGTCACTTGCCACAGTGTATTAAAGAACATAATCCCATGTGTGAAGAAGACCCTAAAACTACAATTCAAATTGTTAAAAAGTATAATCTAAAAATTATTCAAGAACTTGAGGTGTATTTTCTAAAAAAACAGTTCTCACTAAGTCTTGTAATGCTCTATAATTTATATAAATGATAAGAATCTCATTCTTGGGCTAACTTAGTGGGAAAACACGTTCTAATTTTTTTAAAGCTTTAATGAAGAGCGTTTTAAGAAAAAGTTTGGTATACATAACTAAAATGACTCACATTTTCTACAGATACAGGGGAGTTAACATCAGAATAAAACTTTGCTTAAATTTAACATCATTTGAATATATTTTTTTAAAAGTGATATGCTACAGTTATTAAAAATAGTGTATTCTCTAAAATGTATTCATTTCTTTACACAGTACAAAAACTTATGCCCCAGAAAAAAAAAAATTACAAATGTGTACACATGCATAATGCAGAGGTTTGACTATATTACATTTTCTCTTTAAAATGAAGACGTTTCAAAAGTAGAGAAAGCCCTGAATTTGGTTACGTGATTGAAGTACACATAAGAGAGAGTTACCAGTATGTTTTTACAAAGGCCCAGTACAGGTGTGATAGTTCCCAGGGCAATGACTAAACTAAGTCTAACAAAAATAAAGGGTAAATCCTGGAGAAGGATGCCCAGGGAATTCAGAAGAGGGTTCTGAGGAGTTAATATAATTCGAAGGAGAGAAATAAAACTGAATATGTAGACTGGGTATAGCCAGCCTGACTTATACACGGCGGAGTGGCCAGCCACGCGCACCATTTCTATGGTGTCAGACCACAGCACAAAGCTCCACAGGAAGATCTGGGCACGGTCGTCCTGCCGGGACATATTTCCCAGGACTCCCGAGTGAAAGGAGGGCTCTTGGGGTCTCGCCAGCACTGGAGCGGGGTTCTGCATCCTTGTTGCCGATGGCCATGATGCCTCGGTCCTCCTAGCCGGCTGAGGAGGTGAAGTGCTTTCTTCATTTTGCTTCACTTGGTCCGTCACAGTTTTTATTTCCTGCAAAGTAGCTGTATGACCGTGCCTATCATCGTTACCTGCAACAAATGGATTTATTTGAATTTAAAAATGGTTTAAATTGTATGTAAATTAAAATTTTATTTCAATTTTACTTAAGTTTTAAAATTTAAAGATAAAATTGTAAGTGTTCTCTCGTTTGACACCTGTTTTACACATGGAACTTCAGACAACAATGGGAGGCATATGACGAAAAAATAAAAAACAAACAAACAAAAAACCAGAGGCAGAGAAGGTTCTGCATATTTTTGTATTTTTCTAGATATGGATTCCAAGTCATTTCACACTACTAGCCATGACTGGTTAGTGAGCTAAGCACTTCCACACATTATCTCATTTAATCCTCAGAAAAAAAGTGGACAGATGGGGATCACTATCCCATTTTATAAATATAGAAACTGCAGCCCAAGAGGTGAAATGACACACCAATTCAAATACACAGTTAGTAATGGGCAGAGTTGGAATTTACACCCAGATCCGTTTAACCCCAATTGACAATCTCTTAACTTTATGGCTACTATTACTGTCTAGAGGCAATACATCATGTACTAATTATAAAACATACAAATATCATAAAATCAAATGACTCTAAAAGTCCAATGGTCCAATGCTGTCATTTTTACAGGAAGTCCACAGGGATCACTACAATCCAGATCTCCCGGCTTGGAGTTTGGTCTCTCCTGAGAGGGAATCTGATGGACCATGAGAAAGTCTTCATGAAGGTTGCCACTCAATTCAAGTTTCTTTAAACTGTACTATCCTCAGGGTTTTTGAACCAGTCAGTACAATTGATCAGACTAAAGCAATTTGTCTGTGGCCACAAGGCTATCCCTGATCAACACAACAGGCATCTGAATAAGGAGGATATCTTCTCATGAACTTCACATCGTGTGTGAGTGTGTGTATGCACTCACGCACATGCCTCTCTGTGCACACATGGGTGTTGAGGTTGGGGAATTATGGAGGGATCCTCAAATCTCAAAACTTACTACCAGTGTTGATGTTGATAGTGTGGTTCTTATGCATAAATGGTACAGCACATTATTTCTCAAACATTCACCTAGTGAAGCACCATTTTTTTTTCTTTTTGCTAAGAATTTGTTAGGTCTTAACAAAGCTTACTCAGCAAGCACGCTGAGTTGTCATATTACTTGATAAGACAAAATAGCTCTAAAGGTTAAAGACACGAAGTCAATAAATATTTGTTGAACTATATTGAACTGATGTGAAACATTTTAAAATAAATAAATTATTATGATTAATGACTAATAAAATGTTTGATTACTATAAATAGGAGCTGTTTAAAGAACAAACAAACCTTGGTTTTCTTCTTTAAAATTTTAAGTGTGAATTGAGTAAATCAATAAACTAAAAAGATAATCTAAATTCTTGATGAAATAGTATTTTTTTTAAAAAAAGATTTTATTTATTAATTTGACAGAGAGAGACATAGCAAGAGAGGGAACACAAGCAGAGGGACTGGTAGAGAGAGAAGCAGGCTTCCCACAGAGCAGGGATCCCGATGTGGGGCTCGATCCCAGGACCCTGGTATCATGACCTGAGCCGAAGGCAGACGCTTAATGACTGAGCCACCCAGGCACCCTGAAATAGTACTTATTTCTGATATGAATCATTTATAAATAAATGGTAGGACCCTTAGAAACTTCTTTACCAACCTTAGCATGAATGAATATCATTTTAATAAATAATAGTCAGGTAAGAAAGAAAATTATATACTAATTACTATTATTTTAATATTCATAAAATCATCTCTTTTTAAACTCAGATGCTCACTGGCAGCAGTTATATCTCTCATTTTACAAAAGAAAAAAAAACATGGAAATTATGTTTCTTAGAGTATGTCATGTCCTGGAGAACTCTCCTTCACCTGTCTTAGTAGATAAAACTGTTTGAAGGGAAATCCAAATTCCTTTGTCAACACAAATAATGCAGTGTATAATGTGGGCTTTGGAGGATGATTGCAAATTCAGCACTGTTTCAATGCCAGTAAGTGGCAAGCTAAGACATGACACTTTAACATTTTTAAACAGTAAGAATCTTAATATCTGTGGATAAGAGCTGTGGGATGAACAATGAATTCTTAGCTAGAGTTCATTTTTAATAAGCTACTAAAGTCCCAACCCATGGGTATTTGGTGAAATTGGGGCTGGGAGCTTCATATCTCTCCACAGCTCAATAGAAACTAGCTTAGATTTGGGGGTACAGGGACTCTGTTGTCTTCTTTCCAAGGGAGAAGTACTAGAACTATTGGCTGGAGAGTTCTGCTGGCCTGCCAGAGGGCAAGGTAGTGTTGAAGAAGCCAAGAAACGGTTGGTCATTCGAGTAGACCCCAAATTTACCCCCAAGTAATGTAAACTTTCATGTACTCAATACTATTCCATTTGATTCAGTAACTAGTTCCTCTCCAAATTCTTATTTTAATTTCCACTTTGTTCTTTTGTTGTTGTTGTTGTTAGTGTTCTATTGGGGTAAAAGGATATTTATTTGTGCAAAATCCATAAAAGATCTAAGCATGAAGAAAGAGATCTACTCACTTTCCTAGAGGTTGACATTTCCCTGCAAAAAGTAAAAGTAACAGCCATTCTGTAGCTCCCTACATCTGATGCCAGTCGCCAAAACAACATTGTCTTCACTGTGCAAGCTAAATACTTAAGAACATGTAATTTTAATCATAGGTAAATGTTTAAGTAGGTAATTCACATCTATTTTTTAAATTACTTATTTATTTGAGATAGAGCATGCATCAGCGGGGGGGGCGGGGTGCAGCAGATGGAGAGGAACAAGAAGACTCTGCACTCTGCACCCAGAGTGGAGCCCAACAGGGGACTTGATCCCACCACCCCGAGATCATGACCTGAGCTGAAACCAAGAGTCAGTCGCTCAACCAACTGAGCCACCCAGGCAACCCTTGATTATTTCTTTGTATTGATGTATTTCTACCTCTAAATTGTTCCCCAAAGTTTTAGATAGTTTACAGGGAAAACCTAAGAACAACATAACAAATCAGTAGTGGAGAATTTTCTAAAGTGAACGTGTATGCCTCTTGCAAAGAGAATAGGAAAGAAATAAGAGTTATTTAAATATAAGAGAAAAAGAATCATAAGGAAAGGCACCTAAAGCCAAGACAGGAATGGAGCTGATACTAAAAATGCACTAATGAGGCTCCCAGTTGTCTGTTAGGTGCAGACAGATTTTAGAGCGCCATACCAAGCTTCAACCGGACATAGAGAATGGTAGCAAATACTGTGAAAACAGTCCCACCTTCACCATGCTGTAACCTGTGATCACATCAATAAATACAGAAGAATAAAATGTGGCAGGGCTTTAAAAAGAAGGTCAGTTCTGTGATGAGAGACTCTCGTATGGGTCTGAGTGAAACTAGAGGTCAGGAAGGCTCATTTAAGAAGTGAGAGTTAAGCAGCAACCTGAAGAATAAGTAGGAATGAATTAGGTGAAGAATGGAGAAAGGAATATTCCTGGTAGTAGAAAGAGCATGTGCAAAGATCTTTCAGCCAGAGTGATCGAAAGAGGAAAAGTTTTCTAAGGAGTTGGGGAAGCAGAGGGGGAAGAAGAGGAGAGGAGCCCAAACCTAGTAAGTGCTCTCTATATACCAGGCACTGTCTTAAGCCCTTTCTATGCATTAATTCACTTAATCCTTAGAATAACTCTATACCATAGATGCTGTTATTTTCCCACCTGAAAGATGAATAAACTAAGGCACAGAGAGATTGACTATTGTTTCTAAGGTCACACAGATAGCAAGGAAAGAGACCAGAACTTGAACCTCAAACGCTTTGCCCCTAGATCACGCTATCAGTGGCAGACTCAGACTGTGTGGCACCTTATGGGCCATGATAAAGGCTTTGTACTTTCTTCTGAGCTCAATGGAAAGCTGTTGAAGAGGGAGAGTGGAAGGCAGAGGAACCAGAAAGGACATAGTCTTGATTAACAGTCCCCCAAATCTATTTTTCCTGAGAGAAAATGTTCTAGAGAAGGTGAAATGCTAATGAATTAGAAATAACACTCTGAGGGAAAAAAAAAATCTAGAAAAGAAGAAAATTAATAGTCATTACAAATATCTTAAAGTATTTTAAGCACACAAAGCACTTTTGGTCATGGAAAAAATGTAATAAATTAAAATACACAACAAGGCACTTATATACATTGTTATTTTGATGCGATCTACCCACTAAACTCAACTGGACTGTGTATAGTTTGTTTCCTTTCAGCAGCACATCTGAGCTCTGGAAGACAAGTAACTTCATTGCCAAGTAATAAATGATGAAACCAGCATCTACTTCACAGGGTGGTTATGAGGACTGAGCAAGTCAATATATATAGAACATTTAAAATGGTGCCTGACACACAGCAATAGCCATATGTGTGTTAAATGAATCAAACACAGCAATCACTAAATATAAGAATGCAGTAAATAGTAAAAGTGATTACAGTTTGTTAAACTTTGGTTATAGTTACACTGTTACCCTCATCCCATTTATGGGGGGGGCGGGGGTCAAAAAGTTTGAGAAACTGTGTCATACTAGAGAGCCTTCATGAGGTCAGGACTTTAATTCTCATATTTGCCTGCTCAGATCACACAGCTTACAACAGCTAACAAGAGTCTATCATGTGCATCTCTTCCCAGTTCCATGATCAGTGTTCAGTGACATCACCTTGGTAGCTTGAAAATGGTCATGGAAGGAGTAATTACACCAGAGAAATGGACAAAGGCTACAAATCAGGGCCTTCCCCTGCATTCCCTGGAGAGACGGTGGTTTAAACATTGACCAGCATACTACTGCTTGTGTTCAAAATGGTATGCAAGTTTTCACCAAATAATAATAATTCATAATAATAATGAATTCAAGACAAATATTCAACCCATCATCAATTTTGAAAGAACTCATGGACTTTCCTTAGAAAAAGCATTATACTGTTTTCCAGTACATTCCAAAGCCTATTCACTGCCAGTTCCCTACCAGGCATGAGAATAAATAAA